GAGCCGCGCTGGAGTTCGCGGCGGCGTCGTGGAGCTCCCATCGGGACGGCGTGTGATGCCCGCGTTGAGCTTATAAGCCGTGAGCTTCGATTGGCGGCTCACCCGGTCACCAGCTGTATGTACAGCCTCGGCCCCGACGACCCCGCTAATGGCCGAGACCAGCATACCCCCGGCATGGGTCCGCTGTCCGGCGCAGCGCTGGCCGCCCGCATGCTACTTTTGGCTGTATCGCTGCCCAGCGGGAGCGCGCTCCACGCTGCGGAAGAGGTACACGTTGCGACCCGACTGAGGACCGCAACCGGATGGTGACACGTCGGCCTCTGCGCCCTGGCCGGGGCAGGCGTGACCGACGTCACAGTGGAGGAACGCCCAAACAAGACCAGCCCACCGTCGGAACTCGGAGCAGCATGGAAATATCATGTTCTGCCTGGACGTCGGACCCGGCGGCCGCAGTGCACCTGCACACTAGGGTGGCCATTTTTTTGCAAAGTACACGGAATCACCGCTCCTAGCCTCGATTCTGATGCATTTTTTCATGCTGATTCCGAATCCGTCGAGAAAAATGAAAAATTCGTAAAAAATTTGACCCCTGGACGTCCTTGAAGTTTTTGGATAAAGTGAAAATATCAACATCTCACTGTCTAATCGAAAGTTGCGTTGTGTTTAGACTAAAAAGTTTATATGAACGTGAAATATGGTCTGTTGGCGTCACAATGCCGCTAAAACCAGCAATATTACTCATTTGGTTTAGCAACAGCGTTCAATAATATCGGCACCCTTTGGGGCAATCTGCCTCTGATGGCGAGTATCGAACTAATAGTGATACACGTCTGCCTGTAGGTGGCAGCACTGTTCTCCAACCTTTGATTCTTTGATAGGTCATTGTGATATCATTAACACGTTTTATAATCATGTTTTCCTTGCCAAAAGATACAATAACCATTAATCTGATTGTCTGAAAGAAATTTCAAGCATCAGTGTGTCATTTTCCTTACCTAAACAATGTCTAAAATAAGGCTTTTCTAACCAAAAGCAAACAATCTGGGTGAAACGGCAATGCCCCAGCAATGTAAGCAACGATTACACAAGGAATCGTTTATGACAGGCTTATTTCGTTTAGTGTCATGCAGGGGATGCACCTATAGATGTTCGGCGAGCCCCACCGGCAAGTGGTCGTAAAACCCTGTGACCTGACTTCAGCCCAGCTGCCGCCCCGCAGTGATGTGTTTGGAAGATTATGCAAGCTCAACTCTCAAGCTAGAGGCGATGGCGTCGTGCCTCACCTCACTGATATGTATCACGTACCAATAAAGCCCATCATTAAACATGTCTCCGATGAAGTTAATGTATGGTTACGCGCTTCCTTGCCTGTCTGGAGGGTGTGAAACTGCCGTCCGCGGCGCCGCGGAGACCGTGTCGCTGCAGACACTGACCTCATGAGAACAGCGGCCCAAGTCGGAGACGGCCTTGCTGGCTGTTTTTCAGCGGACCCGACCTGTCGCCTAACTATACCGGATTCACTGCCAGCCACAATGAGCGAATTCCCGCAGAGGAAGTGTAAATGTAGCGAGGCAGAAGGCCCACTGGAGGGTGTCTCACTCTGCCGAGCAGCGGCACAGAGCAGAGGAGCAGCGCTGCCGGTTTTTCGCCTGTCCTTTCCAGTATCCCGCTGTTGCCTAGCTACTGGCCGATGTGCTAATGCCTGGCACCGAGCTGATCTGCGAGGAAGGACAAATCCTCGGGATGTTCCGGTAACTAATTCCGGTGCGCTGTCAAACAGCGAGCTGGTCCCTTCAGATTGTGCAGTTGTTAGGGTCTGACGCTTTAGCGATCTTGCCTATTGTTCGACAGTTCATGATTTTGGCCACCATTGAGTCAATGCGCTGGGCAGGCAAGTAAGTGCATAACCATAATACTTCACCGGTGACCTGTTAAATGATGGGGTTTATTGGTCCGTGACACATCAGTGCCGCACAACGCCATCGGCTCTAGTCTACGATTGCATAATCTTCCAACGACATCACTGCGGGCCGGCAGCTGGGTTTAATCAAGTCATAGGGTCTTACGACCCAACCAAATGCCGGTGGGGCTCGCTGAGCTTCTAGGTGCATCCCGTCCCGTGTATGCTACTGAACGAAATTAACCTGTCGTACACGATTCCTTGTGTAATCGTGTTTACCCTGGCCTATTACCGTTTCATTCACATTGTTTGCTTTTACCTTATTTTACCTCATTTTAAACATTATTTAGGAAAGGAAAATGACACACTGATGCTTGAAATTTCTTTCAGACAATCAGATTAATGGTTATTGTATCTTTTGGCAAGGAAAACATGATGATAAAACGTGTTAATGATATCACAATGACCTATCAAAGAATCAAAGGTTGGAGAACAGTGCTGCCACCTACAGGCAGACGTGTATCACTATTAGTTCGATACTCGCCATCAGAGGCAGATTGCCCCAAAGGGTGCCGATATTATTGAACGCTGTTGCTAAACCAAATGAGTAATATTGCTGGTTTTAGCGGCATTGTGACGCCAACAGACCATATTTCACGTTCATATAAACTTTTTAGTCTAAACACAACGCAACTTTCGGTTAGACAGTGAGACGTCGATATTTTCACTTTATCCAAAAACTTCAAGGACGTCCAGGGGTCAAATTTTTTACGAATTTTTCATTTTTCTCGACGGATTCGGAATCAGCATGAAAAAATGCATCAGAATCGAGGCTAGGAGCGGTGATTCCGTGTACTTTGCAAAAAAATGGCCACCCTACTGCACACGTGCGGAGAGGGGCGCTGGAGGCTACTCTGGAGCTTCTGCCATTCCGCGGCGCGACTGCTGGCAAAACGGCGGCGATTGAAGCGGTTGGGAACAGCTGCAGCAATGGTGATGGCGGTGATGGCGACATGGCGGTTTGGGACTTCATCTCAGCGCGGCCGCCGCCCAGGCGCCGCTGCGCCCGGCTGCTCAGCCACCTACCGGATGGCGGGGTGGCCCTTACGGCCCTCACGCCCGTTCGGTCTGCGGCCACGTTGTGGGGTGGCGGTCGCGGGGTTAGCGGCGTTGGACTTCGTCCTTTATCCAGACTGCACCGTACCATCTGAACGGATGGATCTGCCAAGAAAGATGACATCCAAGGCGGCTATGAGGCGATCACAAAGCTTCACCAAGAGCTTCTCCTTCATGGGGCCGGCCGGCCGTTAAGTCGCAACACCGGCTGCCGAGTGCCAACAGCTGCGTGCGCTGGCGCCGACGCGTTGTGGGCCGCGCTGCTGACGCCCAAGCTGCGATATCAACCATCTATGAATAAGTGGCAGCGGTGGCGGCTTGTCAGTTGTTAACGTGCCTTAACAGACGTTGCGAATAGCCCGCGTTGGAATCGCATGGTTGGCAACACAACGCAAGTAAAAATGGGCTTCCTTGATGAACCTACTTTTTAAGCATTGTAGCCTTTGTAATTTTGGATGTTTTGCTGTAGATATTATTTTCTACATATATACTATATAGGCACTCACGTGCTTTAAATCGCGCAATGCAATTGAACCATAGTAAAGACAATGATAAATGAACTGAGAGCTGACATGCCCCATGCTTTGTGTGTGTATGTGTGTATGTGTTTTTTTTTTTGGCGAGTCGATAAAAGTGGTTTTGGACACTGGATGAGTTTTTAGGGGTGTGGTGAGGGGGGGATGTAATTCCACAGACCTTCTGTCAGATTCACTAATGCAGTAGGTCTGTGCGGTGTTTAGTTATCGGAGCATTCTTTGAAAGTCGTGAATAGGGCCACCGAGTACCTAAAGCCGTGATATTCTCCCACAAAAACTTTTTTTAAATAACCGGGGATAGGTGCATGAGCAGAGTAAATGCTATTACGAACGCCTATCACAATGCTGAGCGAATAGGAAAATCCTTAGATGGAGAATTGTGCCGCGTTACGGGTGCTCGGGCGCAGCCAATCCACCGTTACCCCAGCGGTGACCTTGACCCGCATCGTCTGTCTCGGCTCCAAAGCCAAACCGGCGTGGAATTGGGAGTGTTCGAGCACTCATGGTCCAGCGCAATTCTCCACCTAAATCCATTCCTGATACACATTTGCTTGCTCATAGTCATGTAACCCCGGTAAATTCACCCAACTTTCATATTGGTCGCTCCATAGACAGATGGCCACAGAGATCAACTTAACCCTAAAAGGCCATTGTTGCATTCATTTAGTGGAGATCATTAAAGAGCCGTGACAGGCCACAAGTCGCGTGACATCATACGTGTAACGACCAATGACGTCGGCCTGCAAAACCCAATGGAAGCGGCTAGCAGCGTGCAATAAAACAGGGCGCTGCTTTCTAAATGTCTGTCGTGCGCCATAAATGAATATATTCTTTGTAGCCTGGCAACTCAGTATCTTTTTTTTAACTATTGTACTAGTATTTAATAATTTCATAATTTTATAATTGTGCTTACGCTTTATGTTTATATTAGTGATAAATCCTTAGATAAAGTAATCGATGTGATATTTAATAGAAAAATAGCAAACTAACGCACCATTCATTCGAAAGCTGGGGAACCTACTAAAAAGAACTACTAAAATTCCTGAGGAACCAAAGGATCAAATGGGGATCAAATAGATGCCTGCTATTCCGTCGTGAAAACGGCCACTGTGCAGCTGATGAGCACCTCTGCACTGGCAATGTGTTATCGGCATTGCCGTCTGGGCTGTGGTTGGTGCATTAAAAATAATAGTCTACATGTGAAATTCCAAAATTGTGAACCATTTTATAGCCTTACAGATATTGCAATATTTCTCTTGCCATCTAAATGGTTTGAAATACCTAAGTCTTCATTGACCTGGGTTTTTGAGCAAAGTTGGTAAATGCATATTTCAAACTGAGTACAGTGGTGAGCGAGTAGGAAATCCTTTCCTGATGCATAGTTACTTGCTAATGTAACCCAGGTAATTGACTCAAGAAAATGATCAATTAATGTATCTATCTTTCAGGTTCAGTTATATGCGCAGCTCACAAGTGCTCAAAAAGGCTGCAAGATGCCTAGCTAGCAACTGCTCCAACCAGTTTGAAGGAAGAAAGGGTGTATTTCTCCGCAGGTAAATAGAACATATCTTTTTTCAGTCAAGTCTGAGAGGATGTTTTAGAAATGGATATAAATTGCAGTTAGTATTGTTCTTATTATGTGTTTTGTGAGATAGTCTCTGTTCATGTTGTAATGTGGATACATCACAATCCATAACAACAGTTGGCCATAAGAACAATTGATTAAACAATGGTCTGTGAAAAGCTGAGTAGCATCAAGATGCAGTGAATATAAATGTATAGTTACAAAGGATATTTCATTTGAACAAATCTCCTCCCAATCCCTTGTTACCAGTTATTCAACACATTGACAGATGCCTGTCATTTTTTCACTTTCTAGGTTTCCTCAAGACCCAGATGTGTACAGCGAAAGGACTGGCGCATTCAGGTGAAGATGGATTGGTGGCAACATTTGTCGGAAGGGGGCAAGCTTGGCCATGCGGCACACTTCATGATGAGGGCTCCTTCGATTGCACAGACCAGCTATGGTGCAGTCCCATCAGGTCTTTCTTCCCTGCTCACCTGCAGGTGAGTGGCATGTAGTTGTGCAAGGTGAGCAGAGTCCACTGCTGTGTCATAACTAACATGTGAAAGCAGCCTGCGATCTGTTTATACTGTTACAACATACCATACCAACTTTGAGCACAATCATTGCAGATGTTTGTGAGAAATAGATACATTGTATTCACATTGTATTCACATTGTTTCGGAACTTTCCCCAATCGACTTGGGGCTATTACAGTTCCAAAAGGATCGGTAACAGCGAAAAACAGTGGCGTCATCACATCATACATAGTGAGCACAACACAAATGCCGCAGCCTTAATCAACATAACGAAAAATGATAATAATAATTGCTAACAATTAAATTGCAGGTTGCACGTTGAATGTAACATACAATGGGATGGTTGTTCGAGATGCTCACAGCCACATTCAAGTACACTAACATACATGTCATCAAGAACGCAGGTATTTAGATTATGTCTCTACAGGTCGGTCACATATATGGCTCACTAACTTGCTAGCAAACGTTGGTATTGGCAGTAGTGTCAGATCATGAGGCAGAGCATTATATTGTCGGGGTGCGCGACTACAAAAACGTCTCCGGCCCATTTCTGTACAGGACATAGGTACCTGCAGATTGTTATTCTGCCTAGTATCGCGGTCCCGAATGTCCGACCTCAAAATGAGGTTGTCGGCAAGCGTTTTAGGCACTCCCGTGCGACGCACTTTGTGAGCCATACACAGAGTATGGTACTCGACAAGCTCACTGGCTTTAAGCCAGCCTAATTTATGTAATAAGTCAGACACGTGATCAAATTTCTTGCGTCCAAAAATGACTTTAGCCGCATAGCTTATGACTTTTTGGATGCGATTAATATTTTTGCGCGTACCATTACCATAAACAGACAAACAATAACGGATATGTGAAATGACTAACGCATCAACCAGTATCGAGACTGACGGCGGCAGGTGACCCCTCAGTTGCGCTAATCCGATGAGGATCCCAAAACAACGCTGAGCGATTGATGAGACGTGCGCATGCCAGCTGAGAGTACAGTCAAACTGGACTCCAAGGTTTCTGGTCTCCGAGACGGGAATCAGAGTACAACCATGAAATCTAACAGTGCCATTAGGGGGATCGCGCATGTTCTTAGGACTTCCAAGTAGCATCAACTGTGTTTTACCAGCGTTTAGTTTGAGTCCGTTGGCACGAAACCACAGCCCTATGCATTCTAGTATTCGTTCTAATTTGCAGGTTACTTTTTCGAATTCGTCTTTTCTGCCACTGACTAAAATCTGCGTGTCATCCGCATACTGAACAATCACTGCATCTTCAGCAAACAAACTTAGATCATTAGCAAAAATACAATACAGGAGTGGACCTAAGGCCGAGCCCTGGAATACACCGATATCATTAGGGAGGGGTTTGGAACACTGAACAATTCCTTTGCTGTCGGTAAAACGAACACTTTGAGTGTGACCACAGAGGTAGCTAGAAAACCAGGAAATTTCGATCTCATGCAACTGCAGCTTTGTTAGAAGTTTAGAGTGATCAATCACGTCAAAGCATTTACTTAAGTCGAGCATGCAGAGAAGTGAAAGTTCTCCCTTGTCGTTAGCAGAAAGGATGTGATCAGAAATGGTAAGGAGAGCTGTTTCGGTTGAGTGCCGTGGACGAAAGCCGTGTTGCGAGGGAGAAAGAAGATGGTTATAAGACCTGTACACCTGTAAGACCTGTACACTTGTTGGTGAACAGCGCGTTCAACAATTTTTGCGATGACGGGAACTATCGAAATCGGCCACTGGCGGTCGCAGCCGCTAGCAAAAGGGGGGGCCAAAGTCACACTCGCGATAACATTTACCTATCCGTCACCGGGAGGGGGGGGATGATCGGCAAATTTTTCACGTCCACGAGCGCCGCACAGTTGGCATTACTTATGCTTCATCCATCTCATTCTTGCGTGAAATCTTTGAGGTCAATTTAAGGGAAAATCACCAGTTCCATTTACCGTCTCACGGTGTGCCCACCGGTCGGGCCGCTGCACCATGACGACGGATCGGTGTAGCATAGGTATACTGGAAGGTCAGGCACGCGGATTCATGACCTTACCACTATAAAACAATTCGGAAAAGTACAGATACATCTTGCTAAAAAGTACAGATACCTCTTGCTTTGAACAAGCATGTGAAACCCAGAGAGCATTTTTAGACTATGACATTTACCCATAGGTATAGGTACCTAGTTGTGTGGCGGCGGGAGAGAGTAGGTACACCGGCCTCTGGAGACCCCCACAGGTTCCGAGCTTTCAGAATTGGCATCTGAGGGCCGCGCGCGACTCCTGCGGGGCTTCGCAACGGCTCTGTTGGGGCTCACTCAACCTGCCTAGTCCTACTGCTAAAAAGACTGGCCCTGAGCCCTAAGGACTTCATCAGTCTCTGCCAGCCCCAGGACCCACACCGGCTCATGGGGTCCCGACCCCGAAATATGAGGGAATCAGCGCGGGACCATCAGGACGTAAAGTAATCTCGATCAGGACCAACGTAAGGCTGTGCCGGCGACTGCGTGAGCCCTCTGATCTTCAGAAACCCACCCATGTATGTTTTCATGTAGAGGCTAGTTTAGGGCCCTCAGAGACCAGTACAGGGCCTGCAAACTACAAAGGCCAGTAGTTTGAGACCATCAGAGACCGAGTTGGGCTCTCAGAGGCTAATGTGGGTCCTTACTCATTACAGGCCAGCATGGGCCCTCAGAGGTCAGCGTGGGGCCCTAAAAGACCGGCATGAGCCGTCGTTGGACCCCAGAGGCCAGCAGAGGGCCCTCAAAGGCCAAGATGGGCCCTCCTCAGAGGCCAATGCAGACCCTTAGAGGCCGGCATCGGGTCTTCAGCAGCCAGTGCGGGGCCCTTATTGGCACCTAAAAGTTCGTCTTGGGACACCAGAGACAGAAATAAGGCCACCAGAGACCGGTGTGAGACCCTCAGACGCCGGTTGGGACCCCTGAGGCCGGTTAGGGGCCCTCATAGGCCAGATGTGGGGCCTCAGAGGTTGATGTAGGCTCTTAGCGGTCAACGTGGGCGCTTGACCGCCACTGAAGTTCCCTCAGAGGTCAGTGTAGGACGTTCAAAGACCGGTGTGGGAGCTATATTAATAGCTGGGCGTGGGTTTTTTAGCCTCGTGACGATCGAATAATTGCCAGGGCCCCATACACCTATATGGGGGCCCATTGGTTGTTTGAGGGGGGGGGCAAATGATATGATGGCCCCCTTTATTGACCTTTGGGGGCATGGCCCTGATGCCCCCCCCCGGCCCCCCGCGACCGCCACTGTGTACACATTACACACATGCCTCTGAGATTACATACTAGCTCATGCAAACTCTATGCAGGCCCCGGAGGTCCCACGCTAATCCTTAAGAAACCAAGCCGGCATACGGCGTCACCACCGGGCTTCTGAGGTGCACAGCACCAACCCATGAGGTCTTACTTTAGTGTCTTGGAGCCAATCTCCTTTAGCAGGGCCCACCCGCCACTGCCGAAGAGGGTCTCATGCCAGCCATTGCTGAATGCTGGGCCTACGAGAGCCTCAAGTAAACCCACGCTGATATTCCATATAAGATCAGGCCATACTCGTGAACCGGTGCCAGCGACGCTGACCGCCAAATTGACAGAATGCGAAACTGAGCCCACTCATGAGTGAAATTTACGTCCTTTGATGGCGCAAGAAAGAAAATGAAACATACGAAAAGCTTTTCTAGGACTTTTGTTCGATCTGAAAGGTGGGGCCAAAAGATAGTATGGCCCCACCTTTCAGCACCAAAGGGGGGGCCATGGCCCCCGTGCCCCCCCCCCCCCTGCGACCGCCAGTGAAATCGGCCGGTAATTACAAGGCTTTGACGACTCTCCAGATTTATAAACAGGAAAAACAAGAGAGTGTTTCCAAGAGGATGGCACCTCGGAAAGGGAAATGCTAGAGTTAACTAAATGAAGAAGCACATAGCCGATTGCATCGAAAGCCATGCGGATCATTTGAATATTGATGCCATCTTGGCCACATGCGTTTGATCCATTCATATGAAAAACAATATCTCTCAACTCAGAAAGTGTTAATAAACTTGGTTTGAAGGCGCAAGCCCCGACTCGAGGTAAACGGCATGGTATGTCAGTGGCCGGCCCCTCATTCCTCACCTCGTTGGCCACACGAGGACCCACACTAACAAAATACTCGTTAAGCTGATCGGCCGTCAGGTCGGGTAGTATGCGTTCAGCTTTTTTAGAGCTCACAACAGATCTAATTTCCCGCCAAGTGGAATGGGGACCCTGGTCGCGGATGCGTTGTTTAACCCGCGCACCGACGGGGGTCTGCGCCACCTTAGTACCGACGGGGGGGGGGCGGATGACCGCCCCCCCCCCCCTGAGATCTCGAGAACGAAGCAGGATAGCGACAAGCGGTAAACGGCATCGGATACGCACGGACAAGGTCTACAATTTTTACAAAAGTTATTTTCAGGTCAGGTCAAAGATGACGTCACAGGGGTCGAAAAAGTCAAAATGGCGGCGCTAGATATGGAGAGGGTTTTTCTCGAATAACTTTCGGAGTAGTCAAGATAGGAACAAACTAAGGGCATCATCGTGATCCTCTCGTCAATCCGCATCGAATGATATATATGTTGACCTCGAAAGGTCAAGGTCAAAGGTTGACCTCAGGTCACGTGACCTCGAGGTCATCATGTATATCATTCGATGCGTCTTGACGAGCTGAACACAATGAGACCATCCGCGCGGCTGTATCTTGTTCCTGTAAGGAGTTATTGGCAAAAAAACCTTTGGTGACCTTTGATGACGTCACATGACCTTACAGCTGCCCAACAGCAAAACAGAACTCAAGGTAGTGAATGTTGATCGTATGTGAAGTCATGTATGGTATATGGGGCCATTCCGACCCGTTTTAGTGGTAAAAACAGGGAGTTGATTTTTCCCCCATTGACTTATAGGTAATGGGGAGGTCGCGAAATTGACCTGACCTTAGGTCACCGACATCAAAATTCCGAGATATACAAATTGTAGCTACTAATGACCTAATAACATCCTGCGACTTTCAAAGGCCTCCGACATCTACTGTAGCTCTGGCACGGTGACAAAGTTGCAAAAAAGTGACTTGAGGTTGGGTCATTCAAAGTGACCTGGTGACCTGACCTTAAAAGTTAGGAGGTTCAAACTTGCACACCCTGTGTAAAATTGATGAGAGAATAGTCATACCAAATTACGCGGCGCTACGCGCCGCGGTTTTCCCGCTATCCGCGAAAAACCTCAGGGGGGGGGGCGGATATCCGCCCCCCCCCGTCGGTGCGCGGGTTAATGTCAATTGTCAAGGCGTCTATCACGTCTGATGGCTGACCGTACTGACCGGTTCAATGCCTTATACTCGGCCGAGCTGTGACCGCCGCCGTTTAGTGCCACTCGACGGCGAGTCATAAGCTGTTTCGTCTGATCACTAACTGGAGGTGCATTCGAATTTCGTATGCGAATAGCTCTCATCGGAGCGTGAATATCAAGAATGTGCAAAAAGAGAGCAAGAAAGCGCTCCCATTTGAGGCTGACGGTAGACGCGGTTAACACTGATTCCCAATTTGCAAGGGAGAGGTCAAGCACAAATGCCTGCAAGTCAATGCGTCGAAGACAGCGTGATCTGATAATACGACGAGGCTTTCGGACACGGGGAATACTGATACAAGCAAGAACAATCTTATGAGGACTAAAATGACAGAACCTCGTATGACATTGCATAACTACTTGGGGACAAGTTGTAAGCAAGACATCAAGCAGCGATCCTGTATAGTACGTAGCGTCAGTCACGCATTGGGCAAGTGAATAGTCAGTGACAAAGTTGTTAAGGGCGTTTTTGCCACAATCAGAGTTTGGTTTTAGCCAATCGCAGTTGATGTCACCACAAATCACGATTTTAGTGTGTGGATGTGCGCTGAGGACGTTTTGGAACTGATTGTCCAGATCACAAAAATCAGCCTCAATGTCCCCCACATTTTTCCTTGGAGGGCGGTACAGTGTGCCTATTATTATCTGTCGCTTGCTATTACATTTTACCATTACCCACATGGCCTCCAGCTTGCTACTTGCTACAGTCTCTGAGGAAACCTTTATCGGAGTGACTGTCAGCCCTTCCCTTACAACAAGCGCCACCCCTCCATACCCGCTGTTGTCTGGACGGTCGGCACGGTGCAGTCTATAGCCTGGCAGGACAATCAGGCGACTCGGAGTGGCCGGTCGCAGCCAGGTCTCGCAGAGACAGAACAAGTCTATTTGATTTTGGTGAAGAAGGTCCGACAGTTCTAGCAGTTTAGGTTTCATTGACTGGATGTTCAATGACCCAATGATAAATCCTTTTGGCCGTGTAGCGATTAGGGAACGGTCGGCGCTATGCCTACCGTTGATGCTGTCGCGTGGTGCTTCATCGGTAGCGCGCTGATGCTGAAGTCCCGTAAGACACTGGTCATCGAGCAGGTCAGCTGAGTGGGACTGCTTGGCATCCAACAGCTCACGGGCGGGCCCATCATCTAATCTAAAAAACCGACCACTTCACTGATGATTTGCTGCGAAACGTTTCTGGCTCCTTCCCAGGTGTACAGGCAGCCAGTCCTGTTGATTCCCCTGTAGGCGCAGTCATTCAGTCGAGTACGCATATCGAGGAACCGTGCTCCATAGGCAGCACACAGGGATGACAGTTGGTCATTCACCAGTCTGATTCTTTCCGATGCGGCTTGACCTACGTCTCTCCTTTCGATCAACGAGCAGAGAACAACGTCTCGAACATTGTGTCGCCCCTTTGCTGTTGTGATCGTATGTGCGAGGCCCTCCAGGATGTTGTCAGCTTCCGAGTCGACAGCGTCTCTTCCTTCCGGATGAATGACTACGTCCACTGCGTCGGCATTGGTTTTTCTTACCGCGGAGATGATTTGCCGACTCATATCGGCGGAACTCGAGTGCTGGGAGGAAGAGAATGCGACATTACTTCCGAAGTTGAACTCTACCCTAGCTGCTGTGCAGATACGCCTTATGTTCTCACCGCCAACTAGAACGGCTCCACTGGGAAACTGCTTTGGCTTGTTTGCTCGTCTTTTCACAAGGGTCCAGCTTGATCCATCTTCGCTCTTGGCCGTGTTTGTCGGGATTTCGTTACCGGAATCGACGTCTTGACCCGTTGAGCGTTCTTGAGCGCTCTTGCCGCGTTGGGATGCCTTTAAGTCTCTTTGCGGTTCAGAAGTCGAATTTACCTGAGCTTCCATAGGGCTGATGTTCGAATGTGTTTTCTGCTGCTCAGTTGCAGTGGGCTGCGATATGCACAGCTGTTCACCTTCACTTTGAACTGACTTCGTGTTCTGCCTCTCAGAAATATCGTGGTGGAGCTTCGTTCCGGCCGCCACCATAGCAGCCGCGCAGAGCGCTCCGAGCTCATCGACTGACTTGCTGAGGTTTCTACAGTGTACGTGATGCCCTTTGATTTCGTTTACATCACTTTCTATCTTCCGAATGATAGCCCACAGCTTGTTCACATCCAGAGACTCTGGGATGCCGAGATAGTTTGAACACCTCTCTTCCTTCTCTGCTTTCAAATCGTGCATCAGCTCTGCCAATTGAACACCCATAGCAGAGACCAGGTCACTTTGGCTGGTAAGTTGGTCCTGAAGTATTTAAATTTTCTTCTGAAGCTCTCTTGTTTTGGCTCCTTCTTTCTTTTTCATGATGATTCTCTATACACACAGCTTTTTCGCCGTTTTAATGGAGGGCTACGACGCTTATAAAAATACTTGCTCTAAAGGTGCTTTGCTCACAACGTCACGTTTGTTTTTATAATTATTTTGACAGGTTCCGCAGGCAGTTGGATAGCTGCTTCGTGACAAATATGACGCTTCTCACTTTATCTTGCTATTCTTACCTTTTTACAAATGTGGTCATTTTTCATCACTTGGTTGATATCTTGCAGTAAAAATGATACCAATATATAAAGCAAGAAACTTTCAAACAAATTAGCAAGTTTTTGTCGCGAAACGAACGCTTTACAGCTTCTATGTGTGCTACAAGCACGGAGCCTCCGGCGGACCAGCCACTCAGCTCTGCGCCTGCGCAGAGACCGTGTACAATTGTAGGTGCTTTGTGTACAATTGTGAGACAATTGTACATGCTCTGCACATGTACAATTGTACACATACAATAGTATGCCTCAAGTGATTGCTTAATCTTATAAGCCACTCATCAGATTGGTCTCCAACCAGTGTCCCAATTTTGTATGCAATGCATCTTGCCATTCTGGATTCATAAAAATACCCAGCACTGAGCACGCGCTTGCACCCAAACCACATTTCTCATTGCATTGCCAAGGGAAGTGGGTGCCCAACAATACACACAGTTTCATCAAAATGTGTCCAGGAATCAAATAGGAGTTATTGCAAACAGAACAGATTTGGCACTGATGATTTAGTAAGTGCCTGGTGGAACGTGCCGAGTTGACTCCCCAAATGCTTCAACAATGTGTAACTTCAAGGGAGAATGGATAAGCTACACAACGTGATAACTGTTTGCTAAACAGCATGTATGGCTGCAAAGATATGGGCCTCTCTAGAATGTTTGATGCCAAGTTTGACAGTTCATACTCTGTACTCATTTAAGTTTAAGTTTGACAGTTCATACTCATTTAACCCGATATTTTTTAAAAATTATATCTCAATATTTTTCGATAAACAATCTCATTTCTTTCTCGCTCGTAAATATTTGTATTCCATGGACCATGATTGATCGCCTCATGTGTGAGTGTGTGTGAACATGGCAGTGTGTGCATGTCAGTGTCGAGTCCGCTCATCGCCCTATCCCTATAGGAGAACTAAGAAGTAGGCATGATTTGTTGTTTTTATTTTCCTCAGGACCATTTCAATAGCTGCCAGAGCTGCGGGGGCTGAAGCAAAGGCTAGAAAAAGCTGCGACCAGGACGTTGGCCTGTTCCAAGCAGTCTCGAAACGCACACAAGAACGGGAAAATGTCGATCCGGACAGCACGCCTCAGGGAGCGTCACTCGTCAGAGGCGGTCTCGACGGGCAGGCCGGGCGGTGCCCAGGGAACAGCGTCACCCGTCTGTGGCTGCCCCGATGGACAGGCCGGGCGGCACTCCGGCAGCAGCTGCATCCCTCTGTAGCGGCCCCGACAGCAGGCCGGGCGGCACCTTGGGAGCAGTGGCACACGTTTATGTGTGGGGTGGCCCCGACGGCAGACCGGGCAACAGAGGCAGTGTACAGGGAATAGCGGCACCCGTCTATGGTGGCCCCGACGGCAGGTCGGACACCGAGGCGGCTCCCAGGGAGCAGCGGCACCCGTCTGTGGCGGCATCGACGGCAGGACGGGCGGTGCTGATGTAGTAGCGTCTAGTTTGCTGATAAACGTTAGCGATATAGGCATCATCCTACCCTGCGTTCGATGTCTCTCGGACGGCGAAGATTCTACGCTGTCCGGCCAATCACGTTCCAAAACCGCAGCCGAGCCTCCGCTGACCTTGAACGGGATTGGCCGGACGGCGTAGAATCTTCGCCGTCCGAGAGACATCGAACGCGGGGCTAGTCACCATGCTCAGGCGCGTCGATGATATGCTTGTGCTGGGATAAGGTCAACCTAGAATTCTGACCTTACGTCAAAGTCAGGTCAGCCTCTCCGACTCTGGCTTCGTGACGTAATCTATGTCGCTAAAGTAAACGGTGCAAAAGTTAAAAATTGGTTTACAAGATGTGTATACTATTAACTATTATCTCATGGTTTCGTGTGTTTGCATGATATTCAATCATTTTTCGGCACCAAAATAGCAGTTACCACCTTTCCCCATTGACTTGTGATGGCGATGTCACGTGACTGACCTGACCTCAGGTGACCATCAGGAAAAATATTAGAATATACAAGCTATAAGGTCTCTGGAGGGTACAAGGTTCTGTTAGTTTGATCTCCCTGTGAAAGCTCTTCTGGCACTGAAGGCATTGCGAAGTTGCGGCATGTCATGACCGCGCGGTGGCTTTATTATGACGTCATAGGTCAGTGACCGGGCATGACCTGAAAGGGTGATTAGTGTCATAAGATCCGGATTTAATGAAAGGTCAGTTGTACCAACTTTCAGCTCTCTGAGGCCAGCGCGTACCGAACAAGCACGAGTAAACCGTCTGGGAACAAGGGGTGACTAGTCCCTTGCTGCGGTACGGTACGATGATAAAAAATTGATTTCAAATACATTTGGTGATGCTATAGGCTTTAACTAATCATTTCATAATCTTACTGGCCATCTGCAGCCTTCCAATAACTCAAAAATCGGTTTGGAAAACGGGCTCGAAACCGCTCCACCCCCATTCACTTTACGTGTTGTAGCAAATGCGACTCTATGTAGGCGGCTGCCCCAACATGGCCGCCTGACCTACATGCTCGCTAGTATGGGGAGCCAATGGGCGTGTCCTATCTAGTCTGTATATCTATGGCGCTGCTCGTCCGCGGACGCGGCGCGTCGGCCATGGCCGGCTGGGGGCGGGGGTGATTCAGATTGAGTGATTTGAATATTTTTGTGCAATTAGGAGCTGAAGGGAGGTTTATAATTATCTGTTAATTATTTAATCAAGTTTAAAGTGACCAATTGGGCGCTTTCTACACCGAAAAGCAATTTATTTGCTCATATAACTGGCGGCATGGGGTGTTGGTAACGAGGCGAAAAAGTATCTTGCAAAAAGGCGAGAGATCCCGTGACGTCACGTAACGTTGTGCAGCCGCCGGCAGCCAATCAGGTGCTGGATTTTCTTCATCCAGTGACGTCATCTATTATATAGAATGTATATACAATTTGATAGGCAATGATTAGGTGGGGTGTTTTAGGAATGCAATTGAGGCAACCTAGACTTATTTATGGGGGGCAATGTTACTTTCACTGGTGGAAAACATTGAAAGCTTTTTCTGAAATGGTGTAAGGGTAGGTTCAGTATGTTTCATCAAAATATTTTGAAAGTTTCTCCTGGTGTAGCCAACATGGGGAACACGTTTTGCCAGGGTGATCAAATTTTGATGTCGTGCCAGCATTCCGGGGTAGATATGAACCCAAACTTTTTCTTTATCATGTGTGGTATGCAGCACAACATTTTAAGGACAGGTTCAGTATGTTTCATCATAATATTTTGAAACTACCCTGGCATAGCCAATGTGCGGAACTGTTTCGCCTGGGGTTTCGCCTGGGTGTTTGAATTTTGACGTCGTTCCAACATTCCATGGTAGATATGAACCCAAACTTTTTCTTAATCATGTGTGGTGTGCAGTACAACATTTTAAGGACAGGATCAGTATGTTTCATCATAATATTTTGAAACTATCCTTGCGACGATTCGGGCAGCGTCGTGACCAGCGCCGTGTTCTGTCCGCGTGCGCGCACACACAACACCGCCGTGGTGATGGAGGCCACGAACAGCAGCAGCAGAATCACCACCAGGCTGATGACGAACGTCAGCACCGACACACACACTGTGTCGAAGCGCACGTCGAGCGCAGTGTCGTGTGGCGATAGGCGTTATCACAAGTGTATTCGCGGCCATTGGGGCGACGTAAGAAAAGAAGAAAACAACTGGCCCCAAGAACTTTAAATTATCAAATAGCATGCACCTTTTCCTTGATATGTAGAGAATTTACCATTAATTGTAAGAGAAAATTGCATTTAAAATCTTCCATTTATGCTTTTTTCATTGTTTGCACAGTATCTTCTTTTACTAAGCTAGAAACACTAATTAGAAATAGTTCCAGCATCATCAAGAACAAAAGGGAAGGCTTGAAGTGAATACAATAATCTAAACGGTTTTGTAATCCATGTGAAGACACTTCTAAAATTGCCTGTAGAAATATTGAAGGCAAGAGTTCAACTTTTTCACAAGACGGATGGCTATAAACCTATTCAACGTGTGACAACTCAGCTGGTATATCGTCGCCTACAGCCCAGCTTTCCCTAGTGACCGATAGAGGCGCTGCTATCGATGTCCGCCCGAGCCGCCTAACGGCAGGAGTGTGCGCGTCGCTTCCGTGATGGCGATGTCCTGGGGAGCGACGACGCGCAGCCGCCGGGCCAGGCGGACCGGCTCGCGGGCCTCTGTGCGCTGCTCGGCGGCGGAGGATGAGCCGTTGACCGAGCGACGGGACCGGCTCAGAGCCTCCGAGACCTGTAGGGAGCGTGGGGACTGTTGGGGTGACCAGTACATACAGGGTTGGGCAGATAAATTGGGACAAAATACATATTTGCATTTAGAACGCCGTAACTTAGAAATTTTATAAACATAGGCATTTGAAATTTGGAGCACATATTGTCACACCAATTTTACACATTTTCACCAAATATGGTCACCGTGGTCCACCTGCATCAGTCCTTATCGGTGCCTGGACTGGCCGCACGCGCGGCGAGATCTCCCGTCTGAAATGGCTCGTAAATGTAGCCAACTGGCACTGCTGAGGCTCACCACAGTCACATGGGGACGTTCGTTAGACTCACCCGCAAAAACGCCCCAGCAACCAGAACTTGTGAGGGCTGAGGTTTAATGAGGAAGGGGGCATTTTCCCTTGGGTACAGTTTGCGGGATCCTCCGTTGCAGGAGATTTTGTATTTAATTTACTGTATGCCGGAGAGCTGACTCCTCGAAGAGCATCACTCTATGCAGGATGTTGCCTTCTTTCATCTTGTTGATTCGAACTGCTGGAATAATGGTTAGGTACCCTGTAATGGCGAACCTCCTCCCGATTCCGTAAAATAAGGGGGCCTCACGTAACCGTCAGAAGTCACCGAGTGGAATGGCATCACCGGTGTCTGCTGCATGCTTTTTGGAACTAAGATCACGTCTTCTGGGCTGGTTGCGATGTTACATGGTGTTTGCGGTTGTTCATATCGAGGGTTCCGAGCAAGACAACCCTAAGTGTTGTTTTTTTTAATTTTACAGGAGAAGCAAAAAACTGAATTCTAATTCTGTTTGTTGAGCCAGTGCAACGATACATCGCGTGTTGTGCAAGTAGGGAGCGCGCAATGTTATGACACCAAAAAATGTTATAAAATACTCACTTAGAGGGAATGCCAGGCACTTAGGTTCTTCTTGCTCACCAGAATGTCGACTCCGGCTACACAGTTCACATGCAAGAACAACCTAACCGTCGAAGCAAAACACTAGCTTTGCGTCACTAAAGCTGTATTTATTGCTGTAAATGTGGCCAAACACTGCTACGTGATGCACTGCACCATGAACTGCAACACTGAACATCGAACTGCAACAAACGCTGCACTGCTACGCTCCCTGCGGTGTCCTTCCTCTCACTCTCTCACTCTCACTCCTCTTCCTCCGGATCGTCGAAATCACTCTCCGGGAGAATGTCCTCCTGCCGCGCCGAGTGCGGCAAGCTCCTGTACTCCGCTTGGAACGGCTCCGGGATGTTCCCGTCGTCACAGAGCTTGATCAGGTCTCGGTACTTTTCCGCACTGATGGGCAGCCGCTTGCTGTAGAGCTGCTTTGGCTCGATGGCAGGCGACGTGTCGCCAGGGTGTCGTCTTCGACCTCGTCCAGCAGGGGCGCGGGAACTACTCTCCGACGGGGGGGGGGGGCACACCATAATAGAGATCAACCTAGGGTACCCCCAAATCTAGTTTTCTCACCGGTTTTAGGCCACTTGTTTTTCATCCCTCGGCTTTTTCAACAAAAAAGAAAACATTTGCAAAAAAAAGTGTGGTATTCCGTCTCAAAGCTGTGGGGGCACCGCCCCCACGGCCCCAGAGTTCGGGGGCAAGCTGCCCCCACTGCCCCCCCGGCTCCCGCGCCTATGTCGCCCAGCCCGGATCCGGATGCTCTTCTCTTGGTTGTTGTAGTATATCTCTACGTTGACCTCTGGTTCGCCACGAGTGATAGTCACCTTGCTCATGTTCTTCCAGGGCCCGCTTTCGGTGAGGCATCGGCGCTGGATCGACTGCCAATCGGTTAGGATTAGGATGTTCGGTTACGGTTAGGACGATGTTAGGACGACGGTTAGGATGTTCTTGCCTGAACCCTAAGTGTCGAAAATGTCACTTAGGTTGTTCTTGCACTCTATATCTCAGCACAGGACGCACTCAGCGGTACGGCTGTTCTTGCATCCGACGCGGCTCGTCGAGCTGATTCGACTGGTATATTTAACTCAATTTCGAAAAAAATGACACTTAAGGTTGTCTTGCTCGGAACCCTCGATATGAATTATAGCAGGTATGTGTGCTGAGGCTTAGTTACGCACACACAATACGCATGGCGATTTTCACTGTTGCAACCGCAATGTGCAATAAAAAATGATATATTCTGTTTAGCTAATTTGTTCATTAACCCTCGCCCGCACATGGGGGGTGGTGGTTGCCACCCCCCCCCCCCCCCCAGGTAGTCTTTCTGCTCTGCACTCAAGATTTTTAGAGCTAGAAGGCTGATTTTTCGTATAGCTGCTCCTCTATCCTTTCTTGATGTCCACTCTAAATTTCAAGTTTCTGTGACATTTGGTTTCGGAGATATGACCTTGTTTTTCAGGTCATGTCATGACCCAAATGGCAAATTCTCGACATCTTGCGTTGGCTATGGGCCTTGTGAGCTTTTGACACCTTGATTTCGGCCTTTTTTACCAGTCTTACCTCCCACCTATCATGGAACATGTTGTTCGATGATGTACAGATGTCAAGGTCAAGGTCAAGGTCAACCTAGGTCATCTAGGATAATTGCGTTTTAGGCAAGCAGAATTTACTTTTTGTGAAGTTTTTTGACTGCATTTTTGGTAAAAGCTTCTCAGATCATGATTTCATGTAATATTGACACATAAACAATCGGTGCACACATCAGTATACACACAGACACACACAGACATACAAACACATATAATTGACCTTGACCTAACTTGACCTGAAATGACCTCAGCAGCAAAAACCTGGTCGGGTAGTGTGAGAAAGAGGTTCTAGCTGGCTTGGCACCAGAAAACGGCATCGTCATCGGTATATGATAAGCAGCGCACTTGATATCAAACGGTGACCCAAAACAGCAACATTTTTTAGTTTGACCTGACCTGGAAGGTCAATGACTGACTTGAGAAGGTAAAACTGGGTATCATTGGATTCGTCTCTTCCCAAAGAATCTTTTTGGTCTTTACCGCTAAGCTCTATCTCCAACAGGAACGAAATGGCGCGGGGGGGGGGGGTGTGGCAACCCCCCCATGTGCCTTCTAGGATGGGAAAATGGCATGTGCGGGCGAGGGTTAAGATTATAATCATCATTTTCAGAGTATTTTGTAACTGTCTACAGCATCCAATTATAGTCGCAAATTCACAGGTGGAATTTGCGCCTCATCATTCTCAAACAGCAGCATGTGCGGTGTCATTGCATTCGGCTGATCCTGTCTGTGTATGTGTGGCTGTGTGTTTTTCAGACGGTCCTGGTCTCATGGCCGGCAGCCTGGAGCCCCTCACCAGGTGCCGTGGGCTGCGGGAACTCACCCTGTCCGGCGGCGTCCCTGACACCGTGAGCATGGAGCCCCTCACCAGGTGCCCTAAGCTGGAGGACCTGTCAGTCTCCATCGCCGACCTCCCGCGACTGAGGGGGCAGCTGCCGAAGGGCCTCAGGTGCCTCAATGTCAGAGGTGGGATAACGCAGTTCACACATGCAATACCGGTATATGCAAAAAGACAGCGTTGACGGCAAATGGACGAACCGATGCGACCCAGCCACAGCGTTGTTTGTATATAATGACATTAATTTATGGGAGGGCTGCAATGCATGCACTTGCATATACTGCGTGAATGTGGTGCATGCATCGATTATTAGCGAGCAATCGATCCAAAGAGGAATGTTTCCGTTGAAACCATGCTGTGAATAATATAGATAGATTATATCAACCTATTTGATCTGTTTTCATACCTTTTTCTGGTTATATAATTTTACAATGCCAGAGCGTAGTACGTATTCTTACGAATTCGCTTTGAATATGTCGCATATTCCCATGTCGTTGATATCCAGTCCACATAGTTATTTGCAATGACCGTTGTTGTTAAAAACCCCTCTCCCTCCCCAGCCGCTCGGCTGTGTCAGTGCTGGCTGTGTCAGTGTCTGACACTCTGGTGTCAGTGGTGCAGCGGGGAGCTGGCGGCAGCTCTGACCGACTGCAGTCAGCTGACACAGCTCTCTGTCCGACAGGGCTGGAGGTGACGGAGCCGAGGTGGCCGGGACGGTACTGCGGTCTGTCAGTGTCGCTCCAGGGGGTGGCTGACGACACCATCAGTCACCTGGCTGACCTGGCATGGACGGTCGGACGACTGTATATATACGGTGAGCAGCGGCAGCACGGACAGGCCGATGATATATGAGCTCAGGGAATGGCGGACACCGAGTAACGGTGTGCGGTTATGACTGTATGTAGAAAGAATAATTTGAACAGACAAAAGTGCGAACTACAACGTAAAACATGACCAGATAATGGATGCGCCTCACGAACTAAGGAAACCAATGGAGACTGTAATATGGTGACGAAGATTGATAACATAACTTATAGGGGAAAGTGGGGCAATGCCGAAACTTTTCTGTTTGAGACTCTGTAGCAGACAAACAAAGCCGGCAGTAGAAAATCCAGCGGCATTTCTGACAAGCCTGATCAAATGACTATACATCGCAAATGTGCTTTTGTGTAATTGATCTTTGAGTCAGCTGAGATAAAGACAAATGTCCAAAAAGAGAAACTACGGGGAATGCCGAAAACCTATGGGGAAATGCCGAAATGGATTACGGGGAATGCCGAAAACCTTTTTGATGTGATTTTTCACTTCCAAACCAATTTTAAATTCAACATGAATAAATGAACCCCAATGGAAAATAGTCTCAAAGTTTCAGAGCACGCCCCTACCCTCATCCTTCTTCGCTTCCCTAGCCGTCTGAGTGAAGCAGCGGCCGCGCCTGGTTGAATGGCGGTGCCGCCGTGCCGAGCCCAATAAAAACGACGGTTCAATCCTCCGACAGTGTTTTTGCACTGCAAAATCACAGGCTTAAAGGACCACATGCTTATATGCATCAAAATAACAGGTTGGGACAACGCCGAAAATTTTCCCACAATTTCGGCTTTACCCCAGTGACCCATATTGGCACCCGGAAAAAAAGTTAAAATACACATGTGGTAAAATAAGCAATATCACAGTATGTCCCGTTTATATGGATAATTGACACCGTAGACAGAAATAATTGAGTTTTAATTTTATGCAACTTGGTGAGTTATAGCAATTTTAATATCGGGATAAGCTAAGCATTAATCGACGTACCTCGAAAACCTTCCGTTGTCGCCGCCGCCTCGCTAATAACTGTTCGCGCGTGGCGTTTATACTGGTGAATCACTTGAACTGAGACTTCACAAAAATGCCACCAGAGGACTGCACCTCCCAGTCGTTTGGCCACAATCGAGAATTTCGGCTTTCCCCGTAGTTCGGCATTGCCCCACTTTCCCCTAGTAGGTATATGTGTTGAGGCTTAGTTACGCGCTCACAATACGCATGGCGATTTTCACTCTTGCAATCTCAATGTGCAATGAAAAGTGATGCTAGCAGTTCAGCGAATTGATCATTGAAATTGTAATCAGAGTATTATGCAATTGTCTACAGCATGTAATAATGCTCGCGAATTCACTGGTAACGCCTCATCTTTCTCATACAACAGCATGTGCAGTGTCATTGAAGTCGGCTGATCCTGTCTGTATGTGTGTCTGTGTGTTTTCCAGATTGTCCTAAACTCACGGCCGGCTGCCTGGAGCCCATCAATAGGCACCATTGGCTGATGTACCTATCAGTCTCCGCCGCCGACTTCCCACGACTGCGGGGGCAGCTGCCGGGGAGCCTCCAGCGCCTCAATGTCAGAGGTGAGAACTGAGATACCACGACTCACACACAGTGGCGCAGCCAGGATTTCATTTCGGGGGGGTCATCGCCTCCAAAGCGGGCCCCCTGGTGTGCGGGCCCCCTACCCATTTTTCAGAATCTCTCCATATTTCATACACATTCTGCTGAGCGGGCCCCCTTTACCTGCACGATAACCCTGAGCGAGTTTGAATCAGAACATTTGGATAGAACAATAGCTCGGTAATCACTCGGTGTTCAATTTTTACGCAAATTGACCACGACAGAAATATGTTACTATGACGTAAGAATTCGTATCTTTCGAGGCCGAAATGTGCCCCTTCCGCAATATGCATAGCATATTTATATGCAATCGGAACTGTTGCCTGCTTCTGTCGGACAATATTTAACTAGTCCCATGTGCCTGTTCTAAGTCATCTATTGGCTGCTGTAGAAGATTGTGCCTTTATTCTTCTTCATTACGTGAATTCGCTCACAAGAAGTTTTAGCCCTCGCGGCACAGGGGGAAGGGTTTGATGCAACCCCCCTTAAGTTTTTTTTTTCGCAAATAACTCGCGTAAAAAGCGACTGATCGCGACGTAACTTTCAGTACCCTCGCGTTGATCAATTTTACACCTACCCTAGAAATTTAATGGCCCTGACCCAAATGACCTAAAGGTCAATTCAAGGTCAAATTCCGACCTAAAGGTCGGAAAGTAGGCCAAAGTTGGCCTACTTTTCGAGACCATGTTTGGCCAGAATCGTGGTTCGGCGTATGCCGGCTCGCATTAGCGGCGCGTTTGCAGTCCTTTCGTGGTTTCAAGCGTTCAAACATGTGATTTGATATGTTGCTCCCATGCATAAGGGTGGATGTCAATGTCACCTGAAGCCTGAGGGTCAGGTCACGTCATTGACCTAGGAGGACCTCAGTACACTACGGCCTTTTCAAGCTATGCATGTTTCTAGGCTAGTTTTTGTTTAGCTGAATTCGAATTTAGCAACTAACTATTTGAAAATTTAAGCAGTTTTGGTGCCTTCGTAGCATGTGACGAAGCTGTCACTAGGCGGTTGACACGTATGTTCTACGAATACCCGTCACGATCCCTACTGGTTGACCTGACCTGAACTGACCTGACCCGACCTAGCCTAAATGCATAAAGACATCATCTGTGATCAAAACTAACATAATGTTCGTGATCAGCACCCCAAAAAGCCCTATAGCAGCCACAATTTACGACGTTCTAACAGGTCCCGATTTTCCCGACTTTTGGGTCATTGACCTGACCTGGAAGGTCAACCAATGACCTAACCTAGGACCTTTAAATTGGGGATCATCGGCTTCCTCTCGCCACGGGCAACACGCTCGTGTTTTCCGCGAAGCTCTACATCTCGATCATGGGCCATACGCGAGGGGGGTCGTAATTGTGCCGTCGAAGGACGCAAAATGGTCTGTGCCGGCGAGGGTTAACGCGCTCACATGAGACATGTATTGCCTTGGGCCGGGTTTGTTGTGGTGTGATGATGTGGTGACGTAGATTATGTATGTTACCGTGGTCCCGGCATGGTGTAACTTAGCGCGGGGTAGGTATAGGCTAGAGTGACCGTTGCACCCAGTGCGCTGAAGTTTGCGCAACCGATGGAACAAGGATGGGCAACGTGCCTGTGAGGGGTCTCAGCTCAATCGGGCCGGTGGTGAGGACATGGCGCGTGCTCAAAAAGTGTACATTTGCGTCATAGACTTTACATGTATAAATCGGCTTGCAAAATCGGGCGAAAATAGCTAAATTTGCCCGACACGGGTCCGGTACCCGTGCAGTATCTCGGTAACCGTGGGTCCGATCAGCACGGGGAGCACAGTATCGTAAATGATATCGAACGGGCTATCGAATGGTGTGCGGTGCAGGGATGGCACGTGCCACGTGCACCTGGTAACGCACTTATGCTTGAAAAATTGACTTTTGGACGGATTTTGGACTTAATGCTATTTTCGGGTGACTGTCAGACGGAGCGGGTTCGAACAATGCCTGTTGTCAAGAGAAACGTACCGCCTCTCATGGAAAAATTGTGAAAAGCTAATTGATCAAAAACAAGGTGGAACAAATCGCTGAAGGAAATGGCATTTGTTCATGACTTACCTACTTAATTACACGGGTTTTGCTGCATAAACTGGTATGTTTGACAATTGAAAATGGCATAGTTGAAAAGAGCATTCAATTTTGTCCAATATCCATTCATCGCTTTTGCATGAAGAGCAACAATATTCTTAAAAATATAAACGTTTCAAACGTCTACATTAAACGTCTACATTTAGTAATTCATCGATGGCCTCAATTTTTCAATAGGTAGCCTACGTCAACCTAGTTATAATATATACTTCGCATGTTCTATATTAGAACGCATGGTTATCAGACACGAGCACCTCGATGCGATGGATATTTTTTCCCAAACCAAAATACTTACCCGTCAAAAGGCAATCGACCGAAATGGATACATAAACCATGGACACAAGACCAACCAAACGCCCACCGATCGAAAATACCCATTATTCGCGTTGCGGAGCAAGCGGGTCACCCTAGGGGGCCCCATTCACCCGAGGGCCCGGGCCCTATCCACACGGGTGCCCGAGCCCTATCCACACGGGGGCCCGGGCCCCATCCACCCGGGGCTCCGGGGTGTATGCTTGTAAAAGTATGCTCAGACTTTTACGACGGCGAGAAAATTCATGTCGCCAAAGAGCTTCTATGGGAGACTGTCATATCTCCAGTCTTTCTTGGAAGAACTGATCTGCGCCTCATCCGGCGGAAGAATGGTACCAACACCAAAAAACGATCCGATATTGAGGACATCCTCAAAGCCCTCCAAGTCTGTGGCAAGGAAGGGGTTCACCTGCCCCAGTTCTACGCCCTAGACCTTGGAAGCATTCCACCTGTCTTCCATGAGCAGGTGGATATGGGAATTCTGCTAGGCCAGCTTAAAGGGATATGTTCACCTTGAAAAAGTTGAGTGGATGGTTCCAAAACACTTGGAAATAGTCGATAATACCTAAATGGGTGGCTACATGCCATTAATTGGCCGAATTTTGATGAAAATGATGAAAAACTGTTTTTGATTACGATGACGTAATTTATGGTTATGACGTCATACACAACACAAAGCCACCTTGTGGGAATGTAGCGAACTACAAGTCGCTTCAAGTTATCCCTCGCCGGCCGAGGGGGGGGGGCGGGTGCCGCCCCCCCCATAGGGTTTTTTCGCGATAGCTCCAAACACGCTGGCGATAGAGAGCTGAAACGTGGCATACCTGACCTTTGATCCAAGCTGCATCTTTTGACACCAACCGCATTTTTGGGTCAGTTCAGGTCACTGACCTATGACGTCATAAGTGAACCTCTGCACGGTCTTCAGATGTCGCAACTTCGCAACGCCCTCACTGCCAGAGGAGATGTCACAGGGAAATGAAACTTGCAGGATCTAGTATCCATTATGAGTCCCACAACTTGTATATCTCGGATTTTTCCTAAAGGTCATATGAGGTCAGGTCATTTTCATGACCTCACCATTATAAGTCAATGGGGAAAAATGAAAACTGCTATTCTGGCGCCGGGAACGATCTCCAACTATCTCAAGCACACAGAATCGTGATTTTATGCACTCCTTGCAAGGTTAGATGCGTCACTTTTGCAATTTTGACCTTACGTGACGTCATTTATGATGTCATCAAGGTCATATTAGTTTTTCGTCAATAGCTCTTGATCAAATTGAGCTAGCGAGTCGGGAAAGCCACCAATGGACTCAGGAAGACCTGCCGAATCGAATGATATGCGACATGACCTCTTTCGACCAACTTCGTGACCTGGGGGTGCTGACCTGACCTTGACCTGAGGTCAACACTCCAAGTTGACCTGACCCGGACAAAAAGTATATCATTCGACGCGCCTGAGCGAGACGAACACGATGCTGCCAAAATCGGCGCTCTGCGGCCGTTTTTTGCGAAGTTATTCACCAAAAACTGAACCGTACCTTGGGGCACTTGACCTGACCTCAGAGGTCACCGGTTGACCTAGGACCTTAAAATCGGGTACCAATCTCTGCGTCTCGTAACGGCGCACACGCTCGTTTTTTTCCGCGACGCGCTAGCTCCACCAGGGGCGAAACGGCGAGGGGGGGGTCGTACCCGCCCCCCCCCCCCTCGGCCGGCGCGTATGTAGAAAACCAATAGGTCCGGCGAGGGTTTTTTTTTTTTTTTGAATTTTGCTCCCGACAGGCCGAGGCCCTGGTCGGGGTAGGGGGAAGTTACTAGCTGGCAACTAGCCAGATCTTCCGTTTTACTTTACTTTAATGCCGGCTATGTTATTCCGGCCCAAGGCAGTATCAAGAGCAAAGTTTACGTTAGACCGGCTCATGTGACGTCCGGTGGGAGCAAGTGCAAGGGAAAGCCAGAAAGGGTGCCAGAGTGGCAGTGCCGAGAGGGATTTTGAGTACTTACATTTCTTGCTGCTGAATCTTGATGCTGAAATGTGGTAGTGTTGTAATGTGTGCTGTTGTTGTGTTGTGAGTTCCACCAGGAAAGTCCTAACTAGAAAAACCTGGTGCCTATCTTAGAGGGCAAAACCTGTGCGCTTTTGCCAAATTGCACAGGAAAAATCCCTTTGCTTTGATATTACGTTACGTTATATCGCTAATGTGTAAGTGTGTTTGTGGAGCTATCGCCTTCATCCACTCCCGGGGGCCATGGATGCAAGCCACCTAGGCCACGCCCGGGGTGTCCGGCCAGATAGCTTCGGTGTCTCGAGTGGGCCTCAACCTTTAAGAGGGATCCCTGTCGAGAACCGCGAGAGGGATGGGCAGGTCCCGATTGCCGCCGCCGCCGCCGCCAGAGGGACGCAAACACGCGCGCTCGCAAACGTAAGGGAAAACAAGAACAA